ACACCAGTTTGTTCCTTTTCCTCCACATCCTCACCAACACTTACTGTTTCTTGTGTCTTTTTTTTTTTTTTAGATTTTATTTATTTATTTGAGAGAAAGAGAGAGCACAAGCAGGGGGAGCAGCAGAAGGAGAGGGAGAAGCAGGTTCCCCACTGAGTGGGGAGCCCGATGCGGGGCTCGATCCCAGGACCCTGGGATCATGACCTGAGCTGAAGGCAGACGCTTAACCGACTGAGCCACCCAGGTGCCCCTTTCTTGTGTTTTTGATTTAAGCCATTCTGACGGGTGTGAGATGGTATCTCATCGTAGGTTTTCTTTTTCTTTTTTTTTTTTTAAGTAGGCTCCACAGTCAAAGTGGGCCTCGAACTCATGACCCTGAGATTAAGAGTTGGATGCTCTACCAACTGAGCACCCAGGTGCCCCTCCTTACGGTTTTGATTTGCATTTTCGTGATGGGTAAAGTGATGTTGAGCATCTTTTCATGCGTCTGTTGATCATGTGGATGTCTTCTATGGAGAAATGCCTGTTTATGTCTTCTGCCCACCTTTTAAAAAAAGATTTATTTATTTATTTGGGAGAGAGAGAGAGCACGCGTGCATACAGGACCGTGGGGAGGGACAGAAGGAGAGAATCTTCAAGCAGACTCCCTGCTGATGCAGAGCCTGATGCAGGGCTTCATCTCATGACTTGAGATCATGACCTGAGCGGAAACCAAGAGTTGGATGCTTAACCAACTGTGCCACCCAGGCACCCCTGTCTTCTGCCCACTTTTATTTGGATTTTTTGTTTTCTGGGGGGGTTGAGTTGTACAAGTTATGTATTTGTATGGAACCACAAAAGACCTCAAAGAGCCAACAGAATTTTGGAAAAGGAACAAAACTGGAGGTATCACAATCCCAGATTTCAAGATAATCTATGAAGCTGTAGTGATCAAGACAGTATGGTACTGGCACAAAAATAGACAAATAGATCAGTGGAACAGAACAGAGAGCCCAGAAATAAACCCACAACTATACGGTTAATTAATCTAAGACAAAGGAGGCAAGAATATGCATGCAATGGGAAAAAAACAGTCTCTTCAACAAATGGTGTTGGGAAAACTGGACAGCTTTGTGACAAAGAATGAAACTGGACCACTTTGTTACATCATACACAAAAGTAAATTCAAAATGGATTAAAGACCTAAATGTTAAAGACCTGAAACCATAAAAATCCTAGAAGAGAGCACAAGCAGTAATTTCTCTTACATCGGCTGTAGCAACATTTTTCTAGATATGTCTCGTAAGGTGAAGGAAACAAAAGCAAAAATAATCTGTTGGGACTACATCAAAATAAAAAGCTTTTGCACAGCAAAGGAAACAATAAAATCAAAAGGCAACCTCCTGAATGGGAGAAGATACTTGCAAATGACATATCCGAGAAGGGGTATGGCTGAATTTTTAAATCTCTGTTTCTTGACCAGGAATGGAAACATAAATGCCCCCAAGAGCCAGGCTGGTAACAGTGAGGGAGGTGATCAGGTGGGGGCTGGGAGACCTGGAGACAGGTACCCTTCTTGTGGGGGTGTCCACTGCTCAGGTCTGACAGCTCCCATGTGGGAGTGCAGGCCTAGGACAGCCACATCTTCCTACTTTTCTATATTTAAATTTTTCTACAGATCAACCAACCAACCAACCAATCAGTCCCAGCTTTAAAATGCTGACCACTAATTTCATTCTTCTTAGTACCTTCTGAGGGTCACTGAACTGTAAGTCTAATAAACCGTGTGCAGGATTTGTATGCTGAAAACTTCAAAATGCTGACGGAAGAAAACAAAAATCTAAATAAATGAAGAGATATGCATTCACGGATGGGAAGATAACATTGTAAAGATGTCACCTCTTACATGCTGAATACAATCCTTCCCAAATCCCAACAAAGTAGTAGAGCTTATAGACAAGATCCTTCTAAGATTTAAATGGAAAGGCAAAGGAACCAGAACAGCTAAAAGGATTTTGAAAACGAATATAGTGGGAGGCATCAGTTATTTCAGGGCTTATTCTCACCTCTAACAATCAAGACCATGTGATAATGGTAGAGGGAGAGACTCCTAGATCGATGCAACAGAATAGAGAACCCAGAAATAGCCCCACCCAAGTACAGCCAACTGATTTTCAACAAAAGCAATTCAATGGAGAAAACATAGTCTTTCAACAAAAGGTGTTGGAGCAACTGGATATCCATGAGGAGGAAAAAAAAAAACTTGAGCTAAATCTCACACCTTGTACAAAAAAGTAACTCAACAAGAATCATGGACTTCAATGTAAAATGTAAAATTATAAAACTTTTAGAAAAAAAAAAGGAGGAAATCTTTGGGATCTAGGGCTAGGCAAAGAGCTCTTAGTCATGACACCGAGGGCACAATCCATAAAAGAAAAAAAAATGGATAAACTGGACTTCTTTGAAATTAAAAACTTTCACTCTGCAAAAGCCCCTGTGAAGACAATGAAATGTCAAACCCCAGACTGGGAGAAAATATCCGTAAGCCACATATCTGACAAAGGACTCCTATCTAGCATAGACAGACAACTCTCCAAACGCAGCAGTAAAAAAAAAAAACAAAAACAGACAAACCAATCTGGAAGTGGTAAAAAAAACATGGAGAGGAGACCTCTCACCAAAAAGGACAGACAGGCGGCCACTAAGCACACGGAAAGGTGTTCAGCATCACCAGCCGCTGGGGAAATGCAAATGAGGACCACTGCACACCTGCCAGGACGGCTAAAATACAAACCTGTGCGAATACTGCATGTGGGCCAGCAAGAGCGGAAACTGGATCTCTCATCGCTGCTGGTGGGAACGTAAGATGACACAGCCGCTCTGCACAATGTTTTGGCAGCTTCTTAAAAAGCTAACCATACAAGCTCCATAGGACCCTGAACCAGCACTCGGCATTTATCCCAGAGAAATGAAAACTACGTCCAGGGGCGCCTGGGTGGCTCAGTCGGTTAAGTGTCTGCCCTCGGCTCAGGTCGTGATCCCAGGGTCCTGGGATCGAGCCCCGCATCGGGCTCCCTGCTCAGCGGGGAGCCTGCTTCTCCTTCTCCCACTCCCCCTGCTTGTGTTCCCTCTCTCGCTGTGCCTCTCTCTGTCAAATAAATAAAATCTTAAAAAAAAAAAAAAACTACGTCCACACAAAAACCTGTACACAACTCCTCAAAGCGACTTTGTTTGTGATAGCCCCAAACCGGAAACAACTAAAATGTCCGAACATAGATGAAAGGTTCAAATTAAAAAAAAAAAGCGGCATGTGCGTACTACTGGATGGCTGGGATATTATTCAGCAATACGAAGGAATGAACTACCGATAGACAAAACATCTTGGATGGATCTCGAGGGCATTATGTTGAGCGAAAAATATCTCAAAGGTCATACACCATATGATTCCATTTTTATGACATTCTTAAATGTCGTAATTATAGAGATAGAGAACGGATTAGTGATTGCCTGGGGTTAGAGACTGTTGCGGGGGAGGAGGCAGGGATGACTACAAAGGTGTTGCCTGAGGTACATCTTGGTGGTGATGGAATCGTTCTGTATTTTGGTTGCTATTACCCGAATCTACCGGTATGAGAAATTGACATAGAACTATATACACACCCCATCAATTCTGGTTTTGATGTCGCAGTGGAGTTAGGGAAGATCTAACCCTTGGGGCAAGCTAGGGGAAAGGTACACTTCTCCGTTCTACCCTTGCAACATCCTGTGAATCTGTAATTATTTCAATATAAAAGTTTAAAAGTTGGGGAAAAGGTTCAAAGAAAGAAAATCCCATTTCTTAGATGAAGCTGAAATGTACCCTCTTAGGCTCTGCACACGGGTCCTAATTCTTTCCGTGAGGGCCCCCAAACCATATCTGCCGAGAGATTTGCAGACAGTGACTCCATACCAGGATTCTGTTCTTCTGGCTGAGCGGCCCAAAGCACCTCCCCCATCCCTTCCTGAATCTTTTCAAATAGATGTATTTGCCTGAGCCCCCGAAAAATGTTCTTGGCAACATGAAGGACACTATTAATAATGCGGCTGGGGCCACAGGTGTAAACCACAACTGTCCCAGCACACTGGGGCATGGAGTCACAGACCATGCATGCTGGGCCAGACCGTGGCCTGGCTTGGGCATCGGCATCTCCACTCTGCTGCAGGCCTGGCCTCAGGGCGTCCTGGGTCCCAGCTACTCCCAGGCCAGAGTCAGTCTCTCTGCCTGACTGTGGGGGTCGGTCCAGGGTTCACAGAGCCCTCAGGGCGAGAGGCGCTGGGAGGGCATCCCACTCCAGCCCCCATTTTGAGGATGGGGCAGCTGAGGCTGAGAGGGCAAGGGACCAACTCAGTTCGCATAAAAGGACCAAAAGACCCAGAACAACTTTTTTAGAGTCAAATGGCAGCTCAGATGGTAACATCAGTCCCAACTTCCCATTCCCACAACAGAATCCATTTAAATAAACAGTGCTATGAAAGGAGAAGCCTGAAGAAAGTACTTACTTATGGAAATATATTTATACCCTATTTATGTTCTTTCAACAAAGCAGTGACACCCAAAGAGCTATTTGCACCTTCTTTATGCTGCATTTTGCTTTGTTTAAGGTGACTTGGGGTACAAGGGATGGACAACTAGTCCCTCTAAGAGAATGGCCTTGGTGGTGGCGGCAGGAAAGACTGTTCCTCCATTTTGTGAGGCGCTGTGGGGCAAGACTAGGGCGCTGGGCAGAGGTAGATCCACACGAAGCTAACAACACAGAAGCTTCAGGCTCCTCTCTGGCCCGGCCCCTTCATGGTCTTACACCTGATTTTGTGTTCTTTTTCTTCAAAAGAACCTCCCTAAATTCTGGAAGTCCCAAACCCCACCAAACCGGATCTGCCCCTTTGAGGTTTTTATTTTCCCTTGGCTCCACACTGAGGAGAGCCTTGTGTCCGAGGGGAAGTGTGGACATCTCAACTAGAATAAGGAAGAAATGTCCACTTGCCTTGAGCTTCTCAGCAGCGTCTTCTATTTGGGTTATGTTGCCAACTTGCTGGTGCTTCTTGGCTTCCAACTGCTTTAAACATTCTTGGATGAGTTTCTGTATGTGAAGGAGTTAGGAAAAATTAATACTGTGACTCTTGAGATAACAAGCCACCCCGGGGGTCATCTCCCACCCCTGTATTTTGCTTCAGTTGAGGTATCTGAGACTCAAAAGGTGAGATGACTGGGACCAGAGTCACAGGGCAAACTGGAAGATGAGCTGGAACTAGGGTCCCTCTGATCCTCAGAAGCCCACGTCAGATATTCTTCAAACCTTGATGCCCCCTCCCTTTTTTCTAGAACAATCCTACTATGACCTGATTTTCTCAAATAGGACCTTAAGGCAAACAGCTTGGGGACAGGGGAAGAGCATTCACTTACAGAGTCAGTATTAACTGAGCACCTACTATGTGCCAGGCCCTGTCATAGGGGCTGCTCTCGTGGAACGTACATTCCAGGGAGCCTGTGGCCCTTTGGCCTGGACAGGGGTTCAGAAAACCTGCATGTGTAAGGTCTGTGGGGGTTCATGCTCCCATCTCTCTCCCACCTGAAATGGCTCCCTTCCATATCTCCGTTTTGCGACTGCTGTTTTTCCACAGGTGTGCTCTGCGACCCTCTTCCCCACAGGTCTGACCTCACCTCTATCTGGGCCTTCTTACGGCTGGCCTTACACTCAGCTGCGGGGCCCAGGTCTGGCTGCCCAGCCAACGGAAAGCTTTCTGAGGGCAGGCCTGCTCCATTCCTGGCTCTGCCCCCAGGGACCAGGGAGTGACCCAGAAGCATCTGCTCAATTGAACACAATGACCAAGGGCTGCCAGCTTCGAGTGGACAGCTGGAGGCACCCAGGAAGCTGTGAGGAGCACCAGCCCCAGGGTCACACGGGACCTCCTAGATCTGAGTCCTGGTTCCCCCTTCATGGGAACCGGGTGAGTGACTTCACCGCTCTAAACCTGTTTCCTCAGCTATAAACATGGAGCTAACCCCACAGCGTCGCCACAGAGAATGAGAAGTACACAGAGCGCTGGGTGCAGTGCTTGGCAGGCACTAAGTACTCGACAGAGTTCTTACTGTCATTGTAACATCCAACAAGCATTTGCTGCTGTGGGCAGCTGTATTCTAGGTAGTGGGTGGGGATGGGGACACAATGGTAACCGAAGTACAAGCCACAGCCTCAAATTCCAGGAGCACGTCCTCACCCCACTGTGATTTCTAAGCCTTCAAGTCTAGCTGCTGTCCATCACCCTTCCAGTCCCAGGATGCTTCTCCTGTCAATGCTACCTGGTAAAATCCTACTCAGCCTTCAAGGACAGTTCCAATGGCACTCCTCCAGGAAGTCTTCCTGGGCTCCCTCTTCCTATTTCACATTGTCTTCTCTCTGGCTTCCCAATTACAATACTTACCACACTGTATTGTCACCCTCTGTTCTCACCCCACCAGCCAGTGAACTCCTCCAGATGAGGGAAGAATTGATCTATTCCTTAGCTCATGGCACAAGGTATGTGCTGAATGGATGTTTGATGAGTGGATGGAAGGATGATGGATAAACAGGTGAGTGGGTAGATGTGTGAACACAAAATGAGTTCATAGGTAGGTAGGTGGGTGGGTGGACCTGCCCGTGAGACACCCAAGCCCTATCTCTGGAAAGCAGCCATGTTAACTCTGGAGACAGCCTCTGAGGAGCTATTATTATTACAACCATTATATAGATAAGAAAAGGAAGACCTTGGAGGCAGAGGCAGGCCTGAAACCCAGGACTCCACCAACTGGACCAGCCCCCACAGTGCCCTTTTTCATCCTGGAGCTCCAAGGTTGTCATAATGTGAAGAGAAAGGTCATTAATCACAGAAGACTTCTAGGAGGAGGAAGGGGTAGAATCTACATCTGTCAGAGACAGGAGGGCCTTGCCTATCCCAGGGAGGCAGACGGATTTGACCAGAGCCACAGAACAAGTTGTCCCCAAGGGCGGAACAAAAGTCTAGAGCCCCTGACCACTATTAGGATTCCGCACGGGTGAGGATTCCAAGGTGAGAATGGGCCAGTGGGGGCAATCCAGCTGTGGAGTCCTGGGCTGAAAGCCAGCCTCAGCTTCCAGAACCTTCCTTTTCTTATCAATAAAATGGCTGTCACAGCTCCCCACAGGCTGTTAAATGCGTGGAACAGGAACTGGCTGGGGGGGGGAGGGGAGAGGGGGGCAGGGTGGAGGGGAAGGGCGGAGTGGGTGGCTGGAGGCGGCTCCTAGGGCAAGCAATCAAGCACTCCCCAGCCCCCGCCTGTGAACTCCAGGAGAGAAAACCAGAGATGTCTGTGTGGCTTTTCATCTGCGTTAAAGGGCAGACCTGGGGCGCCTGGGTGGGTCAGTCGTTAAGCTCTGCCTTCGGCTCAGGTCATGGTCCCAGGGTCCTGGGATCGAGCCCCGCATCGGGCTCCCTGCTCGGCAGGAAGCCTGCTTCTCCCTCTCCTGCTTTCCCTGCTTGTGTTCCTGCTCTTGCTATCTCTCTCTCTGTCAAATAAATAAAATCTTTAAAACAAAAGGGGGGGCAGACCTTCTTCCAACCCAAGGGCAGTGTGGTGGACCCGCCGTGGTGGACGAGGTCAAGGACACGTGCGTGTCAGCCGGGGCTCCCAAGTTCTCACTCCCAAACCCACCTCCTCTGCGGCTTAACTGCCCGTTCGCGACAACCCTGCGCCTCCAGGCCTAACCAGGACCCGGCCGCCAGCCCGGCACGCCCCTCCCCGCCCGCTGCGCCCCCCGCGCGCCGCCCGCGTCCCCACCTGCGCGTGCACCGCCTCCTCCAGCGCCAGGCCGACCGGGTGGCCGCGGTGCGCGCCCAGCAGCGGGCAGAGCGCGCACACGCAGCGGCGGCAGCGGCGACAGAAGAGCTCGGCCACGCGGTCGCCGTGCTCCGGGCAGCGCCAGCCGCTCGCGTCCTCGCGCTCCGCGGGGCCCGGCTCCCCAGGTGTCCCGCTCTGCGCCCCTGCGCCCGCCATTCAGCCTTCGGGCTCGGGTTCGGGCGGCCGCGGTGCGGGGGAGGGGCTCCCGCGGAGAATCGAAAGCTGGGCGGTGGGGCGGGGCGGCCCCGGGCCGGCCCAGCTCCCGCAGGAAGGAGGGCTGCGCGTGCCCGGCCGGCAATAGCGGCCGGCTCGGCGCCATGTTGCCCCGCGCCCGCGGGCTGCGCGCCCGCCGCCTCTGCCCCGGCAGCTTCCGCGGCGCCGAGGGCCGGGCCCCGCCTAGCGGCTCGGAGGTGGCGGCAGCCGGAGTGGGGCTCGCTCCCGGAGGGGGCTTAAAGGAGGGGGGCTTCCCCGCGCAGTCTTGCGAGGCCCGTCCCTCTCGGCGAACTGCAGCCCCGTGGGCTGTGGCCTCCCCCGGTGGTGTGCGTTACCGACACCTCTCACTTCCCCTTGATTCTCTGTGCCCTTTCCCCAGGAGAAATCACCATTCCCGCAACTGTCAGAATCACTCTGGAAACTCTGATTGCCCCGGGCTGTCTCCGCGTCCACCAAATGGAAATTGGTACAGCCAACATGAAAAGCACTATGGGGTTTCCTCAAAAAATGAAAAATGGAACTACCCCATGATCAGCAGTCTCCCTTCTGGGTATATATGAGAAGATTATGAAGTCAGTATCTGCAAGAGGTATTGGCGCTCCTGGGTGCACTGCAGCATTATTCACAATAGCCAAGACGTGGAAACAACCAGTGTCCTTCCAGGAATTAATGGATAAAGATGTGCTGTGTGTATATACGGTGAAATGTTATTCAGACCTAAAAAAGGAAATCCTGCCATTTGCCACAGGGATGAGCTTGGAAGACTTTATGCTCAGTGCAGTAAGCCAGGCAGAGAAAAACAAATACTGTTGAGTTTCACTTATATGTGGAATCTAAAGAAACAAAAACAAAAACAGTTGAACTCCTAGCAACAGAGTGGAATGTGGTTGCCCAGGGCTTTGGGGGTGGGGTAAAGGGTACAAACTTTTAGTTGTAAGATGCCTTAGTTCTGGGGATCTAAGGTACAGCCTGGTGCCTATAGTTAATAATACTGTACTGTATACTTGAAATTTTCTTCGTGTAGATCTCAAGTGTTCTCACCACACACTATGTGAGATAATAGATGTGTTAATTAACTTGATGGTGGTCATCATTTTAGAAGGTATACATATATTAAATCATCACATTGTATATCTTTAAAAGTCATGTACCATCTAAATATATACAACTTTTGTCAATCGTTATCTCAATAAAGTTGGAAAAAAAAATTCTCAGTTCCTATCCTTGGCTCTTGAATACCTTTGATCCCTGCCCTGTCTATGCTCTCTACCTTTTGTTTCCAGACCAGGGAATGGGCGGTCTTCTCTGCTTGGGACCTCTCTTCCCCAAATACCCTTTTCCCTGCCTACTTCTATTTATCCTTCAGGTGTCTGCCTAACTATCACCTCCTCCAGGAAGCCTTCCTTGCTTCTCTCCCAGAGCAGCCCACACTTCCCCCATCCTGGCCCTCCTCTTCCTTCCAACCATAACTAAAAACTTCAGAGGGCAGGGACCAAGTCTGTTTTATCTATTTCCCAGCCTGGTCTCTGGCCCAAACAAGTAGATACTTAATTGGTATTTGTAGAACAAATCAAGAAAAGGAAAGCTCCAGGTATTAAAATGTCTAGGCAGATGTTGTTTATTATTTTCTTACATTCTTTCCATTGTACGATTTCACATCTATTTATTTTCACTTTTATTTCTTAATTTTTTTTTTTACAAAGGTAAAAGGAACTTCAGAAACATTAATACAATCAAACTATTTCAGGCACGGTTTCATATTAAAAGCATAGATCTATTTTTGATTTCCTTCTTCCCTCTATGATATAATCTTAAATTTAGTTTCAGGAAGAACATTTATTGTAGAGCTAAGGATAAGCCCCAATGCTCATCTCCCAGTGCTGTCTTCATTCTCAGAAAGCTCCTGAGTCAACAGTCAGGGGGCTCCTAGAGTATGGAGTAAAGAGATGAGTGCACATTCTATTTGCCCTGAGTGTGCGGGCCGGGCCCTACAGATGCTGGCTGGGCAACTTCTACTTCATCAGTCAAGAACATAAACAAAAAGGCAATTTTAAAAAATGGCTTAAAAAAATATTCGATAAAAATTACCTATCCCTCTCCCTTGCTGTGAAATAATTTAAATAATTTATTCTAGTTTAAAAAAAAAAAGCAAACCCAAAAAACAAGTCTGTTCACGGATGCCTTCACATTGTTTTTAAGCATGAGGTCTGGGTCCCTTAAGGGGTAGGGAGAGCTTGAGAAGGTTCTGTGTGGAGGAGGCATTCGGGATGCTCCCCAGACTCACCCCCACCTCCTGTTTGCAGCCAGTGCCGGTGGGAGGGATACTTCTTCATTCTCTGAGAATGACATGGGGATAGTGTCATTATTCTGACCAGGGGGATGATGCCTGCCTGGCCCATGTTAGAATTAGAGCTGGGTGTGCCAGGGAACCCTATCCAGGGGAGTTCTGTTCCCTCACAACCCCTGGGATTTGGCCTTTGGTGAGCCCCAGTGACCAAGTCAACAAGATAGGGGATGAGGGTGTCTGGCGTGTGGAGGCAGACAAGGGGTCAGAACCATGGCTAGGGGAAGGGGCGCTCAGGGGTCCAGAGCCCTCATCGAGTTGTAGCCAGGGGTCCCAGAGAGACATGGGATGACGCTTCCAACCTGGACTCAGAGGATGGGGTTGGAGTCCCGGAGCCTGTCTGATGCTCACTGTCCTTGTCTCTACTGCAATTAGGTACAGATGGGCTAGCCCAGTGGCTCTCCATCCTCACTGTACTGCAGAATACCTGGGAACTTATAACAACATACACAAAGCCAGGCCCTACTCTGGAGATGCAGCTTCAACTGGTCTGGGGTTGGGACTGGGCATCTGTATTTCTCGAACCCTCCTAAGAGGACTCTCATGTACAGCCTGGATTGAAACCTACCAGGTTAGGTGGCCTCCTCCCGTCCCAATCTTAGCTCCAGGACTGCCCTGTGCAGTGGGCAAAACCCCATCGCCTGCACCTCCTCAGTAAGGAGGGGGTACATTTAATTTCCAACATTCTCCATCTCTAGCTAGGCTGCTGTACTGACCACTGAGAAAGAACCTTAGCGAATAGGCTCAGAACACAGACTCCCAAAGGAGGGACATATAAAAACTCTCAGGCTAGAAGGGAACTTCAGGGTCATCCGGCCCTACTCCTTGCCTAGTGCAGTCCTCCCTCTCCAGAAGTGGGTGGCCATGGGGCTCTGCTGGCATCCTGCAGTGCTGGGGCTCCCTCCCTCCTGGACCAAAATCTGCCTACATCCCCCGGAAGCGGGCAGGCTCTGTGGCCTGAGGGCTTTGGGGGTGGCAGTCCGTGGTCATGGGAACCACTCTGATGTCTGCTCCCCCACATAAGGGATAGTGTCTGCCCATACTTGGCTGATTCTGGTTGAAGAGAGGATGGTGTGGGAGCCTCCTATCTGTGTTCTAGCACTGGGCCAAAGCTTGACTTATTTCCCCGCAGTTAAAGCTCCTCTGCCCGTTCACCAATGTCTTGTGAGTTCCTACAGCAGACCCTGATCATCACCCTATAGGTAGTTTTCCTCAGGTCACGGCCAAGGTTTCTCATCGCAGGTGGCAGGTCCTGTAGAGGGCAGCACAGCCCAGCGACCCCAGGTTCAGATGGAGAAATTGAGACCAGAGAGGGAAGGACTTGTAAGAGGTCACTGCACAAATCAGGGGCACAGCCGAGGCCAGAATAAACGGATTCCTGCCCTGTGGGCTGAGACTGCATCAGACCAGAAACAGCAGAAAGACAGACCCTGCAGACCAGAGGCTTGACCCAGCCCTGTCATGAACCCTCTGCGGATCTTGATCACTTGTCTCTCTCTGAGCCTCAGTTTCCCCACCTGTAAAATGAGGAAGTTGGGCCAGATCACTGTTTTTCAAACTTCTAAAGGTTTTTTCAGAAGAAGAATTATGTATTCCACAGAAGCCAATATTTAAATCAGAAAGAAAGGGAACTGTCTGGTTGGAGCAGGGTGGAGGGGGGGCATGGCCCTTCTGCTTAGGCTTCCTCCCATTCTGCGGACCACAGTCTGAAAATCACAGGCAGCTTCCCCTCTTAGGTCCTTCCAGCTCTAACAGAAGGCAAGTTATTGTCTAAAAAGAGTCAATTCAGACACTTGTTTTGAGAAGGCAAATAGAAAAACGGCACCACATCCCTCCCACTAGAATCTTTCAGCAACCAAGAGTTTTCGTTTTCTGGTAAAAAATATAGAAATAGTGGTTGTTCTTGGGGGACTTGTGGTTTGGTTCTGGACCTCCCCATGGAGCCGAGTGGTGTCCCTGAGGGCGGGGAAGGCAGAGGTCTCTGCTCAGAACCTCTCTGAGCCCATCCGCGAGTTTTTGACCTCCAGTTCCAACTGTTTGGCCTGCACCTCACGCTGGGTCAACAGCTCCCGGAGTCTTCGGATCTCCTCCTGTTGTCGATAGAACATCTGCAGCAGCTGGGAAAGCACAAACAGAGGGAGTGATCACTCCATGTCCCAGGATGTGAGGGGTCAGAACACCAGCAGAAAGGACCAAACCTTGCCCCCTTTTCACACAGAAAGGTGGAGGCGATGAACACGGCTGAGGCTCGAGGGAGCGACCATTGCGCGGGCCTTTATAAACCCTCTTCTTCACCCAATAAATGGAAATTTTAAGCAACTCGATGTTTCAGACCTTTTCTTGCTTCCTTAGATCCCCTGTGGACTAGAGGAAAGGATGCTTGGCCCTGAAGTCTGGAGACTGGAGTTTTCACCACTAAACTAGCTAAACTATGTGACCGCAGGCAAGTTACTCATCCTCTCTGACTTTCAATTTCCTCCTCTAGGAACTGGGGGTCAGAAAATGAACTGGGCATTAGCATCACTGCTGCGCTGTAGAGAATCGTAGCAGATGCTGGGCGCTCCCAAGACGAGATCGGGCGCGTTCAGGGTGGTATGGCCATAGACTGGGCGCTCCCCCTAAGGATGTTCGAGAAGCCTCTGCATGCTCACCACACCCCTACGAGGGGGGTGTTAGCCCCGCCCCCCACCCCCACCTGTGCCACTGTGGAAGCTGAAGCTAAGAATGATCCAGCCCCTGGCTCTGAGGGCCTCCCGTCACCGATGCTGAGCAGAGGCAGGCTCAGAACTCTGTGAGATGGCGGCCCCTGAGTTTTTAGCCACTCCATACTGACTCCCAGGGATGGGGGGCGAGTTCAGTCAGGGGATATACCACAGTGCCCACCACAGGTCCTGGGACGCGGTCGGCACTTAACAAACGTCGACTCTGAAGCAGAAAATCCTAGGGTCAGAACTGGGAGGGACTCGAACACCAAATCAAACCCACTGCAGCTTGTAGATGGTCTTCCGCCATCTGCATGTAAACCCGCCATCTTGGCAGACATACAGCGCTCACTGCCTATTTGGTGAATGAAGTCACAGAGTGAGTCAAGCGGCCAGGCCAGGCCCCAGAGCTGGTCGTTGTCACCCCTCATTTTCTCCCCACCATCCCAGTGCAGGCACCACCCTCCTCATTCACACCTCGTTCTCTGTCTTTGGTGGGGGACACTCCATGTCAAAGCCGTTGGTGAGCCGAGCTGTCTTCTCTTCTGGCCTGTGTTCAGCTGCTGCCTGCCTGGGCACCTTCTCCTCCAGCAGGGAGAAGGATCTCCGGCCATCTTCTACAACCACCTTCCCTGTTTGGTTGGAGGGGGCCGTGGGGACGGAGGGGGGTCTCTCTGGGAGCAGTGGCTGGGGGCTCAGCAGCTCGGAGCAGGGCCTCAGGGACACCATGACTGGCCCTGGGAGGGAAGCAAAGGGCTGTGTGAGGCCCGAGTGCTCATGAGCAGATGCCGACACACACAGGCACAGGGCCATGGGACAGGAGTGGAACTCTGGCCACATGCAGACGGGAGCCAGCCCGCACACTGGGGCAACCAGGGTGCAAACACACACTCATGTGATCATCTGAGCGAGGCCTGGTTTGCAGGGGCAGCAGAGTGCACGCCCTGGAGCTGCCCCCACACATGGCAAATGCCTCCGGTGAAGCCTCGTCCTTGCTTTGCAGGGACAGTCCCATACACATTGCGCTCCACCATCTACCGGTTCGTGAATCCTCCCCACAGCCCTGAGAAGCAGGGGAGGCAAGCTATCAGTCACAGAAGAGGCAAGAGGCCCAGAGAGGAGCAGACCAAGTGTTACCCAAAGGGGAGGCAGAAGGAGAGGGAGGTCCCAGGCACAGAGACAGCTGCTGGGGTGGGGCCGAGGAGCATACATTGCCTCCCCTGGGCTGGCCCTTAGGTGGACAGGACCAGGAGGGCGTCAGCACAGGGAAGAAGGGCCTGGGGCGGGGGCGGGCAGTGGGGAGCTGCTGCCTAGAGGGTCTCTTAGGTCGAAAAGTAATTGAAGGGGCGCCTGGGTGGCTCAGTCGTTAAGTGTCTGCCTTCGGCTCAGGTCATGATCCCAGGGTCCTGGGATCGAGCCCCGCATCGGGCTCCCTGCTCCGCGGGAAGCCTGCTTCTCCCTCTCCCTCTTGTGTTCCCTCTCTTGCTATCTCTCTCTCTGTCAAATAAATAAAATCTTTAAATAAATAAATAAATAACAAAACAAACGAACATGGAGGGGGAGAGGTCTCAGGGTCCTAGGATCGAGCCCCGCATCGGGCTCCCTGCTCAGCGGGAAGCCTGCTTCTCCCTCTCCCACTTCCCCTGCTTGTGTTCCCTCTCTCGCTGTGTCTCTCTGTCAAATAAACAAATACTTAAAAAAAAAAAAAGAAAAGTAATTGAAAAGGTGGGTATGGGAGGATGGGCAAGGGCACCCAACTGAGACTATCCACTCACTCCGCACAGCCTGGAGTTTCAGGAAGTTTTCCATGGAGCAAAATCCCTTGATTTGGAAAGACTTTCCGGAGCCACTGGGGACAACCCCTCCCTTCTTTGACCCGTATGTGACCATCCTAGCCACTGGGGACTGACTGTCCCAATTTTAGTATATGTGCTGCCGAAGTGAGCACTGGGGACTGACTGTCAAGGACCATTTGGCTGGGGTTATGGGCGAATACAACTATAGGCCACGCCCCTCTCAGCTACTTGGGGCCACTGGACACTCCCATTTCCCCTCACATTCGCTCGGGGCCTTTTGTCTGCCCCCCTCACCTTTATTCATGCCACGGAGCCACTCCTGGGCTGTCAGAGACGGCCAGGCTCCTGCCGTGGGCGGGTAGATGTCCTCTTGATAAGACTCCGACTGCAGGAGAAGCCAGGACAGTGAGGACTGGGGCGGCAAAGGGGCTGCCCAGATGGGAGGGCCCTCAGGGATCTGGGGTCCAGGCTTTCCCCACCTAGGAGTTGAAGAAACCAAGGCCCAGGGAGCAAAGGGACATGCCCAAAGTCACACGAAAACTCAGGAGCAGAGATGGGGTGGGACTCGGGACCCTTAGCTCCCAGCAACACTGCATGGACAATGAGAAAGGCCTTTCCCTTGAGGAGTGGCCATCAGCCTCCTTGCTGCTACCCCAGGGGCATGGGCTCTGGGCTCCAGGTGCCAGGGCCTGTGCTCTCCAGGAGGGGTTCCCGCCTCCCTCACAGATGGCCACACCACCCTTACCCGCCGGGGTACAATCATGGATATAGGCTCAATGAGGCCTTTGCTTGCAATCAGCTTGTAGAAGCGGAAGATCTCGCAGGAGGTGACGTCGAGACCTCTCTTTGGCATGACACCTGCGGGCAGATGGCCAAGGAGGGCTCAGAGGTTCCGGCTGGGCTGGAGTCACAGGGACCCAGGGTGAGTGGCAAAGCCAGACTGCACATCTGGGCATGAGCAGAGAGCACCCTCCTCCCACCACCCTTCCCTCTACAGACAGTTCATGAGCAAATACCTATGCTGGGCTGGGCCCTGTGCTGGGAAAATGGGGTTAAAGTCCTCACCTCCAAGGACTTCAGTGATTTTAGCTAGACTTTACGGGAAGCGTGCTCTGCTCAAGGCCCTCCCTCACCACCCCCTCACTTGTGCCCGAGCTGCTCTGAACAGAGCTCCTGCCCCTGTTTTCTGTTGATTAGTGCTAGCATGGTGTCTTTCTCCTTGCCTTTGCCTTTAATCTAGCTGTGTCTTCATGTTCAAGTGGGTTTCTTATAGACAACGTGGAGACGTGTCTTTTTTTTTTTTTTTTATCCCCAGATACACTTTTAAAGCAGGGGCTCTCCTAGGTCAGTCTCTCTTATGTCATGGCTACTGTTGTAACTGCTCCACCTTGGCCTAGAACGCCTTCATGCTCTCCCTATGCTGTGCTCTGCTCCCCTTTTGGCTCCTCAAGTGTTGCCTCCTCTGGAAAGCCTTCCTTGACTTCCTGCTGCTTGCTCCTAGAGAACATCCTGCACACCGCCATTAGAGCTCCCACAGAGTCAGTGTTGATCCGCCATCTGCCCTCCCGAATGGGGGCCCCTCCAGGGCGGGGCCCTCATCTGACTCGGTCCTGTCTCCCCAGGCCCCATGTGGCCTCAGTGTTCCATACTCACCCATCCCCTTCTGTGGGCTATGGGAGCGGTATTCTGTCAGGTAGCTCAGGTGAGGTTTGTCGGCGCTCACCTCATAGTAGCGGATGTTTCCATCTCCCTGAGGAGGGGGAGGGTACAACTCAGAGCCGCTTCCCATCAGCCCCCTCCCGGCCCCCGCAGCCATGCAGCAGAAACCCGGTGTTACAGCGACAGAAGAGGTGGCAAAGCCACTCCACACAACAGAACACCAGGGAGCTGTCATCAAAGCAGCAGGGGTCCTCATTTTAACACTCGATCCCCCCAACCATGACCCAAAGCCCACCTCTGTGCCTCCAAAGCAGAAGCTCTGGGAGCACAGGCCTGAGTCCCACTCCCAGCTGCACATAAAGGTCAGGAGTGGGGGGTCCTGAGATCATCCAGTGGGTCTCACCGCTGGGGCATTTCTGGTTGTCGCTGTGCTGGTGACTGGGGAGGGGTAGGGGGCAGGGAGCACTGCTCCAGGCATTGGTGGGTGGGAGCTACGGTGTCAAGTACAGGATGGTCTCACCCAATGAAAACCTGCTCCACCCCAAATTCGAAGGTACCCCTATTGAGAAACACCAACGGTGCCTCCTCATCTAGCCCCAGAACTGAGGAGCGACAAGCTTGGGATGTCTGACCAAAGCCCTGGCCCTGGGTGTTCCCCGGAAGCCAGGACGGTGGGATGGGGTACCGTGTTGACCACAGGGAGATTCCTGCTCGTCCCTATCCCTGCCCTGCATCCCAAGAGCCCCCGGCGGCTGTCTGGCTAGCGGTAGGGTTAGGCTGGGGAAGTCCTGCTCCCTGCTCCCTCCCATGCCAGGCTGACCTTCCCCACCACGTAGAGCATGTTGGTGTCCGCGTCATAGAAGGGAAACAGCACGCCCGAGGAGCCATCCAGGTCCATCTCTGAGAGAGGCTGGGAGAGGTTGTCCTGCAAGAAAAGGGAGACCGGGAAGGCCTGTGGGTCACTCCTGGAGGTCCTCAGTGGTGTTCTCGGAGATGGGAATGCCTGCCAGGGGGCTCTGGGTGAGTGTGAGTGTGTGTGTGTGCGCGCATGCATGTGCATGTGCATGTGAGAGGGAAGGAGACAGAGGGAAAGAGACCACCACCTTTTATTCTGCCAGCATTTTGCCTTCAACCCATCACCTCTCACACACCTGCTCGCACGCCAGCCCTCCGCCTGTTTATTTGTTGTAAAAGATGAAGGAGGAGGTTCAGAGAGAGGAAGCGATTTGTCTGGTCTTTGAAACTCTAGCCAAGGGCTCCTTCAAATCAATACTGCTTGGCTTGGCCCCTACCCTCACTGCCCTCAGCTGCTCCCCCTGCCCACCTGCCTTAGTGTTCGGTTCCAAGCCCTTGCTCCAGCTGTTCCTTCTGCCCAGAGGGACATCTCCTCTCTCTCCCCCCACCCCCCGCCCTGTCCTGGTCCCCGGAGTGGCCACCTTCCCCCAACCCCAACACTCCCTCCTTGAAGGAGAAGATGCACAAGGTCTGGGCTCGCTCCCTCCGGCTGTTGGCATCCCCCCGTTTTTCATCCCTGCATCCTTAGCACCAGGCAGGCTCTGCTAAGTACATGCTTGAGCAATGAGTAGGGCATGAATGAAAGAGTGAATGAATGAAGCCAGCACTCGGCTGAAAGGCGACGGCGAGGGGCAGGGCGGGGTTGCACGGGAGACTCACCTGGTCCCACACGGCCAACTGCCGGTTGTTCCATCGGGATGTGCCCGTGGACAGCAGCTTATTCAGGTGCCCCAGAAACAGCACTTTGTTGGCCCGGTGCTCCGTGCAGTTGGCTTCCTGGACGGACACGTGCGGTCAGGGGCTCGCGGGTGGCAGCTAGGGGCTCTGGCCTCCCTGCTTTTGCTGCTGTCGCTGCGGTACCTAGAATGCCTTCCTTGCTCACCACCTAGCTCTGCTCCGAGCATCTTTCCAGAGGTACCACCTCCCGGAAGCCTTGCAGAGACCCTCCCATCCACGTGGAGTCGCTCCTACTATTTTTGCTGAGAGTTCTTTTCCCGAGCTAGGATAGAGCTCCATGCTCTTGCTGAAAGATGCCTGGGCGCTCACTGTATGCAAGGCCTGGGGCTGGGCGGGCCCTGTCACCTGCGTTATCTCGTTCGATCCTCCTGGAGGAAGGACTCATGACCCGCTGTTGCAGATGGGGAAGCAGAGGCTCAGAGAACAGAAGTGCTTGTCTATGGTCACACAGCAGGCGGCAGGAGTGACATGCCTCCTGACAGAGCTAAGGCACACTGACAAATTCTGGAGTTAGACCAGGGTCAAAGCTCAGCTTTCAAGGTGGGCAAGTCACCTGACCTCTTTTCAGCCTCCGTTTTCCTCATCCGAAGAATGGGGGTGACATATCCTACCTCCCAGCAGTGCTAAGAGGACAGACAGAGCTAGTACACGTGAAGGCTTGGCCACAATGCTGACAGCATTACCACCCTGTTCTCCGAAGCCTCCTCCAGCCCCTCACCACTCCTCGCTCCTCTGCCCCCAAGCCAGACCCCAGCCCAGCACCGACCTGGAGGACGGCCTCTGCCCGGGGGTCGAGAACCCGAATCTTGCGGTCTTTACAGGTGGTGGCCAGCAGGCTGCCGTTGGTGTTGAAGGACATGGAGAGGATCGTGCCTTGGTGGCAGGTAATCGTCCGCACGGGGTTCATGATTATAGACTCCTTTGTGTCCAGGTTCCAGACCATTACCTGTACAGCAATGAGCTGGCTCTGAGCACAGCGGCCACCCCGCCCCTGGCTCCCACAGTCGCACGCCCGCCAGGCTGCAGTGAAACACGGTATCCCCAGGAGGGAAGCCGCAGATGGCAGTCTGGCCAAGAAGCCTCGGGTGGGAGGATGGATCTGCCGGCTGAAGCTGCCACGTGGCAGGAGGGGAAGCCGGGAGTCAGGCTGTCTGGCGGTGAAAAGAAAACACCATCTGCTTTGGAGCAACAAACCATCCATGCTGGGAGGACCCCAGGGGACGAGCTAGTCCAGGGGCTTTCACACACTTATTAGCAGCAGTTTCCACCTTACACAGATAAACAGGGCTGCCATGTTCAGCTGCATAGTTGTGCACTGCACAGCTCCAGGGCAATCCCTTCCCATAGCCCATGACGTGACCTGCGCCCCGTGGAGTTGTGTGCAGAATAACTTGCACAACCATATACGGTAGCCCTGCAGACACATCCTACATAAACGGATAAAAGAGTGCTTCTGATCAGAAGGGGGTCAGAGGCTCTGTCAACCACTCCCATCCCACCCTTTATCGATTACAGAGGTGCCCAAAGTGCCTTTATAAAGCCCTATGTTGTGAAGGGGAGAGTAGCCATGGCTATGGTCACACCAACCCCATTTGTGTACAAATTGAGAAACTGAGGCCTAGGGAAGACAAGGGACTCTCCTAGTTCCTACTGCAAGGCAGAATCTAGGGCTCCTCTACTATGAATTTTCCCAATCCCCAGGGCCCACAGACTGCCAGCTTCGCAGTCAACGGGGCAGTGGGAAGCTTCTCTGGATAGGACCCAGCCTATCCCCTCCAGGAGGACTAACGGGTTGAATAGTGTCTCTCCCAAAACTCATGTCCACTGGAGCCTCAGAATGTGACCTTATTAGGAAACAGTGTCTTCACATATGTAATTAGCTATGATGAGGTCATACTGGATTCGGGTGGACCCTACATCCAATGACCGGTGTCCTTATCCGGAGACGAGAGGACACGCACGTGAAGCTGGAGGCAGGCTGAAGTGGTGCAGGTGCAGGCCAGGGAGCCATCAGAAGTTACAAGAGGCACGGGAGGGTGCTTCCCTAGGGTCTTCAGAGGGAGTGCGTCCCTCCTGACACCTTGATTTTGGATTTCTGGTCTCCAGAACTATGTGAGAATAAGTTTCTGTTGTCTTTTTTTTTTTTTTTTTTTTTTTAAAGATTTTATTTATTTATATGACAGAGAGACACAGCGAGAGAGGGAACACAAGCAGGGGGAGCGGGAGAGGGAGAAGCAGGCTTCCCACGGAGCAGGGAGCCCCATGCGGGGCTCGATCCCAGGACCCTGGGACCATGACCTGAGCCGAAGGCAGATGCGTAACGACTGAGCCACCCAGGCGCCCCTAAATTCCTGTTGTCTTAAGTGCCCAGTCTGGTCATGTTAGGGCGGCCCCAGGAAATGAGTGCATGGACCCACCTTGAAGTCGTAGCCAGAGCTGAAGAGGATGTTGGCGGCCGTGGGGTGCCACTCCACCAGGCCCACCCTGCGGGTGTGGCCCATCAGCTCCTTCTTGCAGACTGTGAGGTTCTTTGTCAGCAGCTGCTTGGGGATGTCCCAGATCTTAATCTTTCAGGGGAGACACAGGCAGGGGTAGGCGCGTTGTTAGCCAGGTCACCTCGGTACCCCCGCCACCCTAAGCCACAGAACTGGCAGTGCCCAGCAGAAGGGCCAGGGGAGCGCTCTCCGTATACATCTCTCACTCAACGGAGGCGCACCTGGAACCCTCAGAGGGCCAGAGGCTTTGCCAAGGTCTTCCGGCCCAAGTAGGGGCTGGCGTTGCCAGAGTTGAGCCCCGGCCTCCAAATCTGCCTCCTGGTAATAAGCTTTGCCATCCTAATGGCCTGTGTCATGGGCAGCTGGGCGGGCCATAGGCCTGACTCCCAGGCTGGATGTCAGATCAAATCCACCTCCCAGCCTAGAATATCCCTCAAAGTACAGTCGTCTACCCCCTCCTTGTCCCAAAGGCTCAGCCTAGAGCCCCGAATGCCTGGAGCAAGTGTTTGTGCTCTGTCATCAGAACACTAGGGAGCCAGTGCAGTCTCTGGAGCAGGACAGGGTGGGACCAAGCTCTTTCCTCTGGAGTGGCCCCCTTGGATGGCCTCAAAGAGGAAAGATGAAGGGCCAGAAGGACAGGCTGGATGGGGTCATGGCCTGTATTTCACAGGAAGGGTCTGGGAAGAGGAGCTGGGGCTTCCTTTCAGAGTAGTGTTGTCGAGGAAGGAAGGGGCTTCCACAGAAGAAAGTAAGCTTCCTGTTAAAGAGGCATACAAATGGAGCTGGGGGGGTGGGGGGGGTGACACAGAGGGGATGGCAGAAACTTGATGCTCTTTGTCGTCCTTCAGAGCTCTCAGGCCCCTAGGTGACTGTACATCCCCTTTCCCTCAGAGATACAAGGGTTTTCAGGTAGACTTTGCTTTCAATTCAACACATATTCACTCCCTGGTCATCTGGATTTAACCCCAGGAAGGCAAGCCCACGAGTGCCAGAGGTTCCCGATGAGGCGCTGGGTGAACGCTATGATTGCACGGGACCGGCCGCCGCCGGACGGTGGACTCTGGGCAGGTCTGTGTGCAGACACCATCCCCCATGCTCCTCAGAGCTAGAGGGCTGTCCCTGCCCCATGGGTCCCGGGGACAGGGAGGACACAGCAGAGCACTTTCCATGGGAGGGCCTGGGGTTAGGCACTCCCACCCCCCACCCCCCAGAGCCAGGTGCACTCCTCCTGTCCCCGGGGCATCTGGGAAGGAATGGGGGCAGGAGATGAGGATAGCTAGGAATTTCATAAAGACCCTGAAGGGAGTCTTCAAAGCAGGCCTTGAAAAGGCAGGTATTCTAGGAGTGGGGACAGACTCCGATACTGGATATCCGCCCCTGGAGACAAGGCCAATTCTCTCAGGGCCTGACCGCATCTTCAGTGAAACTACCTCAGCAGACACTGTCTTTTATGCTCCTTGGCATCCCCTTGTGCAAAGTGACACAAGTCCTCTTAGAATTTTCTACCTGCTTCTACTGAGGAACTGCTCTGTTTCCTTTCATCAGACAGTGAGGGTTCCGCAATACATTCTATTTCCCTTTTCGCCTTGACTGCTAGGCAGCTCTGAGCTAACCCTGGAGCTCAGCAGTTGCAACCCTTCACAGCCAACATCCCAAGGATCATTTCTTCAATTCCTCTATCCGTGGCTACTGCTATTTAGGGAAGGGGCGTAGCTCAGTGGAGATATATTGGGCTCTGGAATCAAGCCTTAGTCTGAGGCCTTGCTCAGCATCCACAGCCTGTGTGACTTTGGGCAAATTGCTGAACCTCTCAGATCCTCAGGTTCTCCATAAGAAAAATATCCTACCTTGTGGGGGTGCCGGAAAGACAGGGTGAAATAGTGAGAGTCAGGACCATGGGCTGTGTCTTTTGTTTTAAGCCATACTCACTGCATTTTAGAGGTGGGCAAAGAATAAATTATAAATAAATAACATCGAACATTGTGGGAAGCAGGGATTATGACCCTGGTACAGAACAGGGGCTCAAAAGGTTGGTGAGGCTGAAGCTTTGGGGATGGTTGTGGTGCCCACATTCATATAAGGATCCCACTTCTACCCTTTTAAAGCTCCCTTCCCCACTGTCTGTGAAATTAAGTGTCACAATATTTTCTGGCAACAACAAAAAATGCTCCTCAAAGCATTTTATAGTTCCCCCAGAAGATGGGCTTTTCCACTGGACTATGAGTCTCACTGGATCCTCATTAGATAGTTGGGAGCTATTATGCCCATTCTAGAGGTAGTGGGACTGAGGTCCAGAGAGAAGATCTAAAGGGGTGGTGCCCCAACTCCTAGAGCCCAGAACTTCTCCCGCACAATCTCACTGAGTCCCTCCCTGCCACAGTGGCCTCACCTCATGAAGGATCAGGGCATCAGGAGCATCTGAGCCCAGAACAGACACCATTTCACCTCCCCGCGCCCCAAGCCCCCTCCTCTCGGGAAAGGGAACCGCCTCTCGCGCTGACACTCACTGTGGTATCTTCAGAGCAGGAGGCGATCTCAAAATCATTAAAAGGATTCCACTTGATGTCTAAGACGTTCCCTCTGTGCCCGCAGACCCTTGGGTAGTGGGGGTCCAACTTTCCCGTCTGCAAAACAGTGCCCAGGAGTGTTGGGGAGAAGAGGGGGCTAACTCCACTTAAGCATCTGGACGGTCCCTTGGCAGTCAGCAATCACTGAGTAGACAGGAAAACGTAAGGGACAGACGGGGTGTGAATCTAGGCCCGATCACCATTCTCGGTGTGATGCTGGGGGGAGTCACATCACTTCTCTGAGTCTCTATGTCTTCCTCAGTAAAATGAAGGCAATAATAGGTATTTCCCAGGGTTCACATGAGGATCACAGGAGATGAGGTGTGGAAAGGGTCTAGCACAGTGCCTAGCACATAGTAGGTATTCAGTACAAGGATATTTGCCCTCACACACTGCTGGTGGGAATGCAAAAATGGTGCAGCCGCTTTGGAAAACAGTCCGGCAGTTCCTTAAAAGGTCAGACATAGAGTTACCATGTGACCTAGCAATTCCACCCCAAGGTATATCCCCAAGAAAAGTGAAAACACAGGCCTACAAAAAAACTCACACACCAATGCTCATAGCAGCGTTATTCATAATAGCCAAAAGGTGGAAACAGCCCAAATGTCCATCAGTGGATGAATGAATATACAAAATGTGGTATATTCATATAATGGAATATTATTCGGCTAAAAAAAAAAAGGAATGAAGAACCAACACATGCTACAACATGGACGAGCCTTAAAAACACGCTAAGTGAAAGAAGTCAGACATAAAAAGCCACACATTGCAGGATTCCACATAAATGACCAGATGTGGTACCAGACGTGGTTTCATTGTTAAGAGCAAATTAATACATCTTCCAGTACCCAGTCTTCAGAATGCTGACTAATACCTGAAAACAGGTAAATCCATAGAGACTGAAAGCAGATTAGTGGTTGCCCAGGACCCGGGGGGGTAGAGCGGGGATGGGAGGAGGGCGATAGGAAGTGACTACTAATGGGTATGCTGTTTCTTTGTGGGGTGACGAAATTATTTTGAATATTTTGTGATGTTTGCACAAGCATGTGACTATATTAAAAACCTACTGAGTTGTACATTTTAAAATGGTGAATTTTGTGGTATGTGAATTACATTTCAATTAAAAAAAAAGAAAAAGCATCTCCTTCCCCTCCCCTTGGCTTGCTGAGAATTGCTGTGTGGGTGCTGGGAGGACAGGTGCGCTGAGCGGAGACTTGCAGCTCCGCACACAGACCTGGATTTCCTGGGTCATGGGACCACCGCGCCCGTTCAGTCACAGAAACCTAGAGCTGGCAGTGACCAGCACCCTCATTTCACACATCGCACTGCATGGCTTGGCAGAACAGGGACCAGGACCCAGGCCCTCTGCCTGCCAACCAACGCAGGCTTCGTCCACATCCACCCCCCCCCCCAGGTGCTGAAGCCGCCTCCCGCCCCCCCAGAGAATGAATGCTCTGCAACCCAGTTTTCCATCTACGGGGAAGAGACAGCTGAGAAGAAAACTGGCCAACATCCACGACATACATAGGGGACAGGCCCTATGCAAGGTGGCGGGGGCACAGGATGTAGTACGTGAGCTGGCAGCTCATCAATGCTTTCGGGGTCTTTAAAAAAGATCTTTCAAGAACAGAGCGGACTCAAGGAACACCCACCATCTCTCCTTCCCTCACCTCCCCAACTCTGCAGAAACCACCGAGACGGTGCCCCACTGAGACAGAGCAAAGACGCAGTGGTGTCTCCGACCCGGCTCCATAAGGCTTCGAAGCCACAGCTGCCCCAGGAACAGACACGGCGCTTCCGGGTCACCCTGGCAACCTAGCAAACATGGACACCGAGACCCTGGTTCACAGGGGCTTATGCGTGCGTCTTAGTAGCTCTGCAAACAGACGTAGTGGTCCTGGGCTCCCCTTCACAAATACTCTGCCCAGTTCAGCTCTTGCCCTTCGGGAAAGGCTAGTAGACACCTCACCCTTTACTGGATCCCATGCTGGAGGGGAAACTCTATACAGGGCATTATTTGATAAATTGGAACATGAAAGGTAGGTTATAGTATTGTTGCAATGTTAAGCTTCGTGAAATTGATAATGGAATATGGTAACATAAGAGAATATTCCTACTTTCAGGAAACACAGGTATTTAGGGAAAAAGGTCAAAGATATATGTAATTTATCCTCAAATGCATCAGAAAAAAATGACACCCTCACATATACAATCAGACAGAGAAAAGGAAAGGATTTGGACTTGTGTCGGTTGAGTGATGTGTGAGGTCCATTTGCGCTCTTCAACAAGGAAGAGAGGTACAGGATCCCCGCCCCCTGCAGTGGGTAGCACCTGGAGCCAGGCCCTAGAGGAAGAACACGCACCTGCGGGCCCTGGGCCAGGTCTCCACAGGACCACCACACCAGCCTCCAGCCTCTCGCCTAGCCTTCAGGCCCCTCTGCATGCTGTCGTCCGTGAGCTTTCAAAAATTAAAGTCTGATCGTGTTGTGCACCAGCTCAAACTGTGCAAGCTTTTTCCCCTCATGTGTAAAATGTGAATAATAACCTCCTCCTCACAGGATTGTTATGAGGGTAAAATGCATGAAAAGCCGAACAGTGAAGCACTCAAATAAGAGCAGCTTTTGTTATGTGTGTGTGTACGCATGCCCATGTGTATCAAAAATGAGAAAAGACTGGAAGGAAATGCACCAAAACGCTATTCATGGTTTTATCTCTAGATGGCGGGAAAATGGGTAGTTTAATCATCTTCTGTGTTCGTTTTTAATTTTCCAAACTTTCTATAAAACTGTGGATTTTGCAATAAATAAAAGGCATTTAACACAAAACTCCAAACTTTCTGAAAAGATGGGTCCTTCCTGGATTAGCCCAAAATGTTGTAAAAACTACAGATCTTGAAAGGCTCTCAGAGACCGGGAATGGTAAAAACCCGGCAAAACTCTCTTCTCCTGCCCCGGTGGCAGGCATCACTAATGGATTAGAGCACGCTCACTGGCCCCAGCCTGGAGGGACTCGCTCAGGGTCCCAGGGAACGTGGGGGGCGGAGCAGGGCTGCAGCCCGGGGCTCTGGTTCCCAGGGGCTGAGTGCACCACACTTGCTGTGTTGGAGGCTCTCAGCCCTGAGTCAGTGTCCTGCCCGCCCTCTGCCCACAGCCTTGCCTTGCCTTAGGCCATTTCCTGGCTCAAAGGGCATGAGCAGTGCTGGATCTTTTGCTCTGGCACACCCAATTGCTCTCTGGCCCAGAGCCCTGCCCTAATTTTTGTCCGGAAGGTTTCTGGAAAGAGCTAATGGTCAGGCTGGCCTTGGCTGATAGGAGGCCAGCCGCATTCACACTCGGCTGAGCCACAGACTCGGGAGATGCTTCGGGGCCAGGCATGGCTCAGCCGGGCCAGCACTCCTTCCAGGCCTCCCAAACAGAGATCCAGCCGCAGACAACTTCTCTTCCTTCTCAGAGATGGCTGGTTTCCCACCCCCACTACTCTCCCCTACCTTGGGCTGCTCTGCCTAACGGTTTTCTGCTGAGGTCCGACATTAACAGACATCATTAGCCAGTCTCATGGGCTATTGACTGAGCTGCTAAAAGCCCTGTCATGACAGGGACATTTATTTTTATTTTTATTTATTTATTTATTTTTTTAAAGATTTATTTATTTGACAGAGAGAGACAGCGAGAGCAGGAACACAAGCAGGGGGAGTGGGAGAGGGAGAAGCAGGCCTCCCGCCGAGCAGGGAGCCCGATGTGGGACTCGATCCCGGAACCCCAGGATCATGACCTGAACTGAAGGCAGATGCTTAACGACTGAGCCACCCAGGCGCCCTTTTTTTTTTTAAGATTTTATTTATTTATTTGAGAGAGAGAATGAGAGAGAGAGAGAGAGCACATGAGAGAGGGGGGAGGGTCAGAGGGAGAAGCAGACTCCCTGCCGAGCAGGGAGCCCGATGCGGGACTCGATCCCGGGACTCCAGGATCATGACCTGAGCCGAAGGCAGTTACTTAACCAACTGAGCCACCAGGCGCCCCGACAGGGACATTTATAATCAGGAGACCACTTCCACCTTTCAGTCCACTAGGACTCTGATTTAAGGGGGACACAGCTCTAAAGCAGGGGAGGTACACCTGTTCTCCTTGCAGACTGCCGGGAGCCCGGGCTTGGGGGCAGGGCCTGGAGAGATGCCACTTCCCAGTCTCAGGGGGGCTGCCCTGAGGCAGATGGAGTGGACGGGACGGTGGGACCCAGAGGGCAGAGCTGGGCAGGTGGGGGACACTCTGGCGGGGGGCAGACCTCAGCTGCTGGGATGGGACAGCTGTGAGGCCATTGCCCACTACCCCCAGCACTCACAGGGGTGCAGCCATTCCCCCGAGAGTGTCACGGTCTCCAGGGACCCTTCCGGCCGCCCAGCTGGATACGGGAGGCGGGCCTGAGAGGCACAAGCACAGGTAGGCTGCACGGTGTGGAAGAGGTTAGGCGGGCGGGCTGACTCCGGCTTCCTGGGTTTGAGTCCCGGCTGCGGCACTTACCACTCTGCGACCTTGGGCAAGTGACCTCAGCTCTCTGTGCCTGTTTCCCCATCTACAAAATGGCAACAGTAGTAGGACTTCACAGGGTGTGAGCGACTACATGAGTTTCTAAAAGTAAAGCACTTAAGATGGTGCCTGGTACACGGCAAGCTCTCAGGAAATTCGCCAGTGCGAGTTCATTAGAGCGAATTACAACGACCTGGTTTTCTTGTCGCTCAGAATGTTTCGGGGGGCCCAGGGATGTACTCGGTGTGAGGCCAAACTGTTCCGCAGGGGACTCCCATGTCGCCCGACACAACTGATGGGCGATCGCGCCACGGTGCCCTCTGTGAATAAAGCCACGCCTAGATCGTGCTCCAATCAAGGAACTCAAGCACATTCTCATGCCTGTAGGAACAGGTGTGTAAATGCTGTTCTTTAGGAACCGTAATTTAGGGACGCTGTGCCAGGTACTTCGCTCACATTTGATTTGCCTCCCAACCACCCCGCGCGGAAGCCCCATGTACATGCAGCAGCTGAAGAGCAGAGGGGTTCCCAGTC